CGAGAACAGTCCTGTAGCCGTCTAAGAGAGACATGTTGGTCAGGCAAAAGTGGTCTCGAAAATCTACTTATGAAGAGGAAAAACGGTAACTCCATTTGCTCTACGTCGCGCCCCAATCTGCCCTCACTACTGGTAGGCGACCAAAAAACATTAACACAAACTACACCAATGTTCTCAGGGTCCAGATAAGGCTAGTTGCCGAGGTCACCAAAGCTGATGCAGAATGGCTGTATGTGTGAGAGAGCGAATAGAAGTCATGCCCACCAGAGGATGGCTAGACTTCCGAAGCCTAAGTGTCCGTGTGTCCGTGTGTCTATGCCTCTTTTCGTCTTGCCTCTACACTCACCCGAGGCCCGGGTGTTCCTTTCACGCCCAGGCCAGTGGGCCTCGCCAACAATCGCTCCTCTCCAGACGGCACTAATTCAACCTTCTGTCTGCATCTTCCTTTTTATCTCTCCTTCGCTCGGCCGACAAGCCTAAGCATCTGACTGAAACGTGTCACGGTGTTGTACACGATGACGCCCAAGGGAAGAGGGCCGGCCAGACTGGGGAGGATAAGAATAGGAGAAACTGTGCTCTCCTGATTGGGCGAACATTGGGGCTGTGTATCGATCCCCTTTGCCTTTAGTCTGAAATACACTCAGCGACAGGATTGTATAGACCATTCTGCACAAACCGCCACGATATCCAGGCGCGATGTCTCTGTTTCTGGCCGCGTCGCAGCATGAAGACACACGCAAAATCGACTGACGCAGGCTCGGTCTGCCGAGGCAGGAGAGTCAGGCTCGACGTCTCTACCTCGAGCGCTGAGTGCACATTAAAAATGGGAAATGAGTGCGTATGAGCGGCCGACGGCAGTGCCGACCGTGCCGGTATGCCGTTAAGGGCAAGGGAATCGACAATCATCTGGCCGAGAACATGTCTTATCTGTGTGCTTACTTGGACTTGTGCTTGCCTCCATCGCGTGTGTGTGTGTGTGCATGTGTGTGTGTGTGTGTGTGTGTGTGTGTGTGCCCGTGCCCGCTCAGAGTCTGTCCGTGCTGCGGCTGAGTGCGTTTCGGCGGCTTGGCCGTCCGGATCAGTCGGCCACGAGTGGCCGGGCTCTGTGCCCAATGCAGGCCGGCGTGGAGGAGCAAGGGTGTGGGGAGCAGTCGTGCTGGCGCGTTCAGCCCACCTACCGGGGCCTGTTGCAGCGTGGACTGGGAGTGCACGCGGCCCGAGTGCGTTCGGTGTCAACTCGCACTGACAGACAAGACCAGACCGGCCTGGAGTGGACACACACGACCAGGCACAGACGGACAGGAGAATAGCCGACCGGCTCGGACCGGACCGGAATGGACCGGGCCGGACTAGACTGCTCTCGCGTCACACATGCTGGCCCGTTCCATTTGTACGTCTCCAAGTCATCTCTTCCTTTTGCCCATTTTAACGCGAATTCACCTACACATGTAGGTGTATGTGTGCTGGCACACGCTCACGCATGAACATGGGCACATTCGGCAGTCCACCAGTCTGCCTGTGGACGGCTAGCACAGTGACGGAAGCAAGCCCCCTCGTCTGAACTAGCTGTGCCGATCACACAGCTACTCTAGCGAATGGTGGGGATGACGAAACGAGGGAGTGGCCTCTAGCTCAGATGGCCGCAAGCCCTTATTGACTTGCTTATTCTTACTATTTGTGCCAGTTACGCAAGAATTGGCAGGAACGAGCGTGGTAATAGAGCTGAAAAAAAAGTTAATGAAGTGATAAAAACAATTATAAGGCTCATAAAGCAATGGGAAAATGTATTCAGTTTGTCTATTAACTTGAGAATTAGTTGAAAATCGATTTTGCAGCCACAGATTTTCACAATGATAAGCTGCAGCGATGGACTCAAGGCCAAATGTTGCTTTATTCAACACACATTTGCGAAAAAGAATGCATAGGATGATAATTTGAATACACAGCAAGCCGCAGGACGGCAATACAATTTATGTATAGATCTCGTCAACTCAAAATTACAACCAAACTAGCTGAAGGGGGCGCCGGTGAGCAGTTTCAGTGGAACAATACGAACAATCTGGAAGCTCAATTCAAGTTTGAATAAACTATAAATCAAGGATAAACAAAGCTTCCCTAGGTATTAAAGCAAAATACCCAACAAAATAAAATCTAACATAGAAGTTGTTTGACCTTGTTTTCGCAACTTGGTCATATTGGTAGGAAGACTTATTGGAACGCACCTTGTCCTGAGTCCATTGTATGCATAATTATTTCCAAATTTCCTATAAGTCTTCCTACCAATATGACCAAGTTGCGAAAACAAGGTCAAACAACTTATATACAACGAAAGGAGACTGCGACCACAAAAAAAGGCTACACCATCTTGGTCTTCATACTTTCGATAAAATCTAACAGTTTAGTAACCAACAGCTCTATCTATGAACACCGGAGATACCAACTTGGAACCTTAATCCCAAAAAGTTATAGTGCAGTTAGAGACCATTTAGAAAAAAAATTAATGAGCATCTCCAACATTTTGTGATATAGCATAAACATTCAGCCTGGGCTTAGGTTTAGTTTGTACTAAATTTACAAATCAGGCTGGAATAAGATATTTTCAATGTTAAAAAGGCTTACCTGAGAGTAAAATAGACCAGCTTGCTTGGCCAAAAACTTGGTATCGTCCGTTGATGGATAGGGCCGATGCGAATGTACTTGATACCACTCAGTGAGAATTCGGTTCTGTGTAGGAGTGAAGTTCTGTCTATGCGGCTTACCCCCACTTGAGGAGGAAGCTCCTCCACCCCCTCCACTGCTGCTGCTAATATTACCGTTACCAGCAGTGCTTACACCACCAAGATTACTCGTGCGTACAGCACTGCTACTGCTGCTTAAAGGGGTGCCACCAGGACTACGTTTTCTCACACCAACGAGACCAGAGCCAGCCGCGGCATCACCGGGCCCCGGGGGCGATCCACGGCTTTTGCGTGGATGATGGTGACAAATTCCTCCACTTCCTGTTGCTGATGCACCAGCAACTCCCGAGTTGCCACCGCCGACTGACAATTTCACAGTGACACTGAGAGGCGTAGACGCAGCAGAAGCAGAGGGCGGCGTTAGGCCAGATCCAGGTGAAGTGGGTGTTTGATGGCAGGATGAGCTAGGTGACGCAATCCGAGGGATGGCTTTGCGTACTGATGCTCCGGAGCCCGAAAGTACTGTTGGTGGTGAGATAAGCTGACCAGAGAGCATGCTGTGATGCGAAATATTTTGACAAGTTGAATCGCCAGATGTAGTCAATGAGGGTGTGGTCGTGGATGTATGAGCGTGAAGGTGAGTGTGCGGGTGCGCATGGGTATGAGTATGGCTGGGTGTAGTCACGGTTGTGGCGG